CACGCCTGCCCAGGACAGAGGGACACGCCCCCTGCCTTGGGAGGCTGGCACCTCATCACTTCACCCAACCTCCTCTGGGTGACAGAAGAGCAAGTCTACGGCGAGGCCACCAGAGGGCGCCGTAATCCTAGCAAAATCTAACTAGAAGCTGTCCAACCAAGGCTTATCAGAGAGAGCGGCTACGGGCAGCCTTGCCTGAGGTTGTTCAGATAAATTCTCCTGTTACCAAGTGTTGTCTTCTCGTCACAACTGGTGTAACTGGCTTTTAAAAATTGTCACACTGCCCGCCGGCGTGGCTCAGGGGCTGAGCGTCGACCTAGGAACCAGGAGGTCACGGTTCGATTCCCGGTCAGGGCACAGGTCTGGGTTGCGGGCTCCATCCCCATTATCAGCAATGGCCTCTCGGCTTGTCAGTGGTAGATACTGGGGTCCCCCTCACGTGCCATGGGGGACAGGGCTGTGCTACCAAAGAATGCACGGGGTCGGGGCCCTGGGCTGCTGCCCTGTGCCTGCACTGGTATTCACATCGCCCGCCTGCCCCTGTGCCCCCCCCCCATACCGGTGCTCGCTGGATGAGTCCCCCCACGAGCCGCCCCGGGTCCTGACGCACCTGCAGTGTACCACGATGGGCCCAGCGTGTGCGGGGTTGAGTGTCTTCACCTTCTTCAGGAACTTGAGCATCCCAATGGGGGTGAAGGGCACCCCGAAGTCGGGCCAGCTGGTGAAGTGCAGTTGGCACAGGAGCCGCGGGGCCCTGCAGCCATCGGAGAGCTGCTGTGGGGACAGGGGGACATGCGTGGGACAGCCACCCCCCATCCCTGGAGTTGGTCCAGGACTCAGGGCCCCGAGGCCAGCAGGGGGCTGCCTCTGCCTGGGGCCTGGGTAAGTGCCCCCAGCGCAGCCCTCCGCTCCCCAGGGCCTCAGGGGAGGAAACAGTGATGCTGTGGGCCCGGGAGGAGGGTCCTGCGCTGCTCAGGGTCCCCCATGGATGCTGTGGCCCAGGGCCTAGGCGCTGCCCGGACCACAGTGTATCTGTGTGTGTGTGCATGTGCGCATGAATGTGTGTGCATGTGTATCGGTATGTGCGTGTGTGTGTATCTGTGTCTATGTAGCGAGTGTGTGTCTGGGGTATGTGTATTTGTATGTGTGTGTCAGGTGTGTGTATGGGAGTATGTGTATTTGTGTGTGTCTGGGGTATGTGTATTTGTATGTGTGTGTCAGGTGTGTGTATGGGAGTGTGTATGTGTATTTGTGTGTGTCTGGGGTATGTGTATTTGTATGTGTGTGTCAGGTGTGTGTATGGGAGTGTGTATGTGTATTTGTGTGTGTCTGGGGTATGTGTATTTGTATGTGTGTGTCAGGTGTGTGTATGGGAGTGTGTATGTGTATTTGTGTGTGTCTGGGGTATGTGTATTTGTATGTGTGTGTCAGGTGTGTGTATGGGAGTGTGTATGTGTATTTGTGTGTGTCTGGGGTATGTGTATTTGTATGTGTGTGTCAGGTGTGTGTATGGGAGTGTGTATGTGTATTTGTGTGTGTCTGGGGTATGTGTATTTGTATGTGTGTGTCAGGTGTGTGTATGTGAGTGTGTATTTGTGTGTGTGTGTCTGGGGTGTGTGTATTTGTATGTGTGTGTCAGGTGTGTGTATGTGTATCTGTGTGTGAGTGTATCTGGGAGGGGGGCATAAGGGGGCAGCAAGAATGACAAAGCCCACCTTCCCTTTCTGTGCTGTGGCTTCTAGAAGCTCAGACTCCTATGTTGTGACCTAAGTGTGTGCACCACCTGCCCACCTTCCATTCCTGACATCACGGCCTGTGTCTACATCTCTAGCTATTTCATCTGCCCGGCACACATGCAGGAGTCTTTGCTGAGATGCCTTAGAACCTGTCCAGACACAACTAGCGGGGAGTCAGTGTGAGAACGAATGAGGAAGTTTCAGCTTCATTTTGAAACCGTTAAACTCTGGCTGCGGGATCCCAGTGAGTGAAAGGGCACCGTTACTAAGAGGGCCACCCACCCCTCCTCCAGACCCACTTCCTCCGAACCAGAATGGCCCTGGGAGCCAGGAGCGCCCAGCACTAGCGGTCCTGGTCCTTGGTCCACTCCCATGCTCAGCCCACTGACCCCCATCTGTCCCTGTCCTGGCCTGACCGGGCAAGTCCGCCAGCCTCAGACCCACTCAGCAGGAGCCACTGCGATGCTAGTGAATGGGAGGCAGAGCTAGGGCGGGGGCAGAGCTGGGGAGGGAGCAGAGCTGGGGCGGGGGCAGAGCTGGGG